ATCAAGCGCGACGTCAAGCACCAAGTGCGCGCGGGTGCGGAGCTCGTGTCGGTGGTGGCGCCGTCGCTCACGTGGCTGAGCTCGTACTGCTACGTGCGCCGCGCCAAGAAGGCCGAGGTCGTGCACGAGAAGCTCTCGTTCCTGGCGATGGGGTCGTTCTCGCCGCTCTTTTGGCTCGTCGTCGCGCTCCACGTGACGTTCATCAACGTGTTCCACCTCTTCCAGAACGTTTCGGCGAGCTACTTTACCCAAGTGCACGGCTACTCGATCGTGAACGCGGGGTACGTGAGCAGCCTCGCGCACGTGTTTGTGATCTTCGCGCCGCTCGTGGGCCTCGTCGTGGACTGCGTCGGCGGTCGCATCCAGCTCATTCTGTGCTCGTCGTGCCTGAGCATCCTCGCGTACACCTTGCTTGTCTTTACCACCATCAACCCGATCGTGCCGATGCTCATGATCTCGCTCTGCCTCTCGGTGACGCCCACGATTCTCATGGCCAGCATCGCGCTCTCGATCTCCAAGCATCGGTTCGGCACCGCGTTCGGCATCGTCGAGGTCGTCGACGCCCTCGGCGGCTTTGTCGGCAACCTCAGCATCGGCTACATCCTCGACACCTCGGGTGGCTACAATGCGGTCATGCAAGTGCTCTTGGGCCTTGCGATCTTGACGCTCGTGCTGGCGCTCGCGCTTGCGCGCGAAGACGCCCGGACGGGCAACCACCTTGCAGCCGCCACGATTGCCAACAAGAACGACGATGTGGAGCTGCGGGAGGCCGACTATAGCACCTCTGGTAGCGACGGCGGCTGCCCCGAAGGCGTATATGTCTAAGTGGATCCCTATTTAATAAGCTTTTTTGTATGCATGCTCGTTGGCACTTCTAGACAAGTCCACAACACGAGTGACCGTGGAGAGCAGCGGTGCCGACACAAGGATACGACGACGTACAACGCCTTGAACGACTGAGTCTTTCGTCCGGAGGCTTCGCACCAAGCGGCACCTTCAACGTTTGCTACTGAAGACCCTAGTGATGTGTCTCTTTCACATGATGAACGCTTTGCGCCATCATATTCGGCCTGCGCCGTCCATACGCCTCGCCTCCGCGACGGCTACGCCTCGTCGCTGCCGTTAGTCTTAGCAGACTCCGAGTCGCAAGTCCACCTCGAAAAACAGTCGAGTGCAATAATTTATACTACAGTGTAGTATCGAAATACTAGTAGACTCACTTCGACGACAACAATTCCTTTCGTCGAGCCCTACTGATTGGTGGTGAGGCGACGTCCTTTCATGCCACTACGGTACACCTACAGTACGGGGAGTGGCGGTGAGCGAGTGACGCGTGCCACGAGCGGTATGGTTTGGTGGGACATTCTTCGTGTGTCAACGAATTCTTTCTTGGCCGAACGAGCCATCCTCCGTCGTCCCCAGAGCACACGATACGAACGTGACCGTTTACAAGCAGCGGGTGATTTGTCATAAAGGATTCTCCAACTAAACATTGATTTCGTATAGGGCTAGGGTATTTTCGAGCCACACTACACGTGGATCTTGGGCGCGCATCCTTCTTCCGCGCTCGAGCTCGAGCTACCTGCCTCGACGAGCTCATCGTCGTCGACCTCACCCTTCTTCTTGATGGTCGCGGTCGCAAGGTGGCCGCCGTGTGTCTTGTCGACATACCCCACCGCAAGCGTCAGCAGCAGCGTGAGGCAGGCAAAGGCCATGAGGATTTGCATCACGATCGTGTAGCTGCCCGTCGTATCGCGGAGGTACCCGATGCCGAGGTTGCCGCTGAAGGCGGTAAAGCCGTTAACGACCTCGAGAATGCCGTACGCAGTGCCGAAGCGCTGCTTGGAGACCGTCAGCGGAATGCTCGAGAGCAAGATGGATGGCGTCACCGAGAGGCAGAGCGAAATGAGCAGCATCGAGATGATGGGCGAGACGTTGGTAAAGACAAGCAAGGTGTACGCGAGGATGCTCAGGCACGACGAGCACAGAATGAGCTGGATGCGACCGCCGACGCAGTCCACGACGAGGCCCACGAGCGGCGCGAAGATCACAAAGACGTGCGCGAGGCTGCTCACGTACCCCGCGTTCACGATCGAGTAGCCGTGCACTTGGGTAAAGTAGCTCGCCGAGACGTTCTGGAAGAGGTGGAACACGTTGATGAACGTCACGTGGAGCGCGACAACGAGCCAAAAGAGCGGCGAGAACGACCCCATCGCCAGGAACGAGAGCTTCTCGTGCGCGACCTCGGCCTTCTTGGCGCGGCGCACGTAGCAGTACGAGCTCAGCCACGTGAGCGACGGCGCCACCACCGACACGAGCTCCGCGCCCGCGCGCACTTGGTGCTTGACGTCGCGCTTGATGCGCTTGAGCGTCTGCGCGGCGCGACCGACGACGAGCGCCACCAAGAGCGAGACGACGCACACCACAAAGCCGTACCAGAGACCGTACACGTAGCTGCCAAAGTAGAGCGCGACGGGGGCGACCGTGGCCTTGGCGAGCATCTTGGAGATGTTGGTGATGCCAACGGACGTGCCCATGGCGAACGTGAGCTCGGACCGGTCAAACCAGTACGCGACGATCGCGCGGCCGCCGACAACGACGCTGCCCTCGCCGAGACCAAAGATGATGCGGCCGGCCATCGCGAGCCAGATCGAGTGCAGCTGCATCGCGTACGCAAAGAGCGCTTGGCCCAAACACATGAGGATGAGGAAGTAGAGGATCGTGACGTGGCCCTTGCAGTCGAGGAGGTGGCCACCGACAAACGGGATGATCATGTTGGGGACCGAGACCGCCGAGTTGAACGCGCCGTAGATCGTGTTGGAGATCGGGAACTCCTTGTCGTCGATCATGAGTTGTTGGAGCGACGACATTTCATTCTATGCCATGGACGTGTGAGGAAAGGGGCGACAACTCGATGAGGAGGAGGTTACCTTGACGAAGTGGCCGCCAAACGGAATGAGACAGATGAGCACGAGGAGGTAAAAGCGGTGGCTCGGCGCGGTCGGGAGCCAAAAGAGCCAGGAGGCCGACGCGCCATAGTAGCGGGACGAGGTTTGGAGGAGCCCCGTGGCTTCGGAGGCGCGGGACGACATGGCTCGTCGAGTCGGTCGGAGGCCAATTGGGAAGTGAGAATCTGAACAAGTTGGTGGTCGCTTTCGAGTGCAAGCGACAAACTCCAGGACCTGAAGTTGCAGCCGTCGGTGTAACCAGTGTGGCGGCGTGATGGCTTTCTTTGCACATGCCGTGTGGCACGGACCAATGAAAAGCGTTGAAAATTTCGAAGACCAATCAACGATGTCGGAATATGGAACCCGCGTGGGTCAATTGTGCGACTCAGCGGTTTGGCACCGTAGCTTGAGCTCGGTCTCAAGACTGTTGCATAGCCTTGCGGGCCACGCCGACTTGGATGCCACATGTGACGTTGGCTCTCGCTGCGTCTACAGTCACCCATGCAGTACGATGCAGTACGGTCGCTTGCAGTAGGGAGCAGGGTAACGTTAGCAGAATTTACAATCGACCCGCGTCGAACGGTTGCTACGACACTAGCCGGATATTCTCACTTGTCGTAGGGCGATAGGACCATTGCTCACGGTTGACGGCCGACGGTCTTTTCTTCTTGCTTCAGATGCTCACGCTCGCGATGGTTCCGCCACATTCGACGCCCGTGTTCGCCGTTCATCTGGGTCGCACGCCTGTAAGCGCCAAGCTACTCGACCCCGAGGACCACCTTTGAATCGCTCGACGCCGCCATGTCTGCACTAATATCTGTAGGCACCGTATAGAGAGCTGTAATTGAAAGATTATGCACTGTCCTACGGTACGCTCGAGTTGGCAGCGCGCATCGCCCTTGCGACACAATGCGTGGATGCGATTGGGCCGGTGGCATGCGCCCTTCTGCCAATCCGCTCTGGCCGATGCCAGTAGCGACGCCCTAATCAAGCACCCAACGTCCTACATCAACGCAAAGATCAAGCGCACTCTGTCGCAGGATCATCCCACCATGATGCGAGAGATCAAGTGCGGAATCATCGTTGCAGGTGCCGTCGCGCCACCCACGCTATCGCCGTGTACCCAAGACACTGCATCGCGTTCCGTCCTCGCGGTCGTCGGGAATCTTTGGCTCGTTGGAGCGTTTGCCTTCGCCCAATGGCCTTGCCCAACCCAAGATATCCACCAATGAGAACGCAGATGAAGCTGCGGGCGAATCTTTACGCCAATCACATGGCAGGCAGCCAGTCTTTTTTCAAGTTGCGAGAGAGAGATGGGATCCTTGGCACGAACGGCCGAGCGCTCGCCGCTTGTCGAGGCGACGTTCGTCGTGACGCGGACGTCGGCGTGGCGCTTCTGGAGCCCGTTTAGCCCTAGCCACCGTTTCTTCCTCCTCGTCGCGACCTGCGGCGTCGCGTTCAGTGGCCACTTCATTCGGGTACTATGCGAGCGCCTGTATGCCACTCATGGCGTCGTCTGTAGAGTGGGATGGCAGCCGTCGAGCAGCTCATGCTCGACGATCCAGCGTACCCGATCAGCAACACGTTTTACGGTGCGCTCTCGTCGGCGGCGTCGTGGCCGAACCTGCTCTTGCCGTTTGTCGGTGGCCATTGGCTCGACCGCGATGGCAGCCGCTGCCTCGCGATCTTTGTCGGGCTCATGATTCTTGGGCACACGATCTTCACGCTCGCAATGGCCCACCACAGCTACGGGCTCGCGCTTGCCGGGCGCTTCGTCTATGGCATGGGCGAGGGCAGCGTGTACGTTGGCGCGCGGGCGTTCGCCGCCACGTGGTTCGACACGACCGAGATCACGTGTGCGATGGGCATCATCGTGGCCATGACCAACGTCGCGCGCATGGTAGCCAAGTGGACGATGGCTCCGGTTGCACTCTATTTTGGCAGCTACGTCTACAGCTTTTGGTACGGCGACGTGGTGTGTCTGATCTCGCTCGCCTGTGCGTGCGTCGTGATCCACGCCACGCAGCGCCTCCAGACGCTGCGCGGAACCTTGGCCGTCGAGGACATTGACCCGCGCCTGCCGTGGCTCACCGCCTTTGTGAGCCCACGGGTCGCGCCGCCGGCGCATGGCAGCAAGCACGGACTCCTCTCGCGCGAGTCGCTCCGGCTCGTGGGCACACTCCCGCGCCTCGTACGTTACTTCTCTGCTATCGATCTATCTGGTGCTGACATGCAATTCTAGTTTTGGCTCGTGCTCGCGCTGCAGATCTTATATGTACAAAATTTCCACTGGTTCCAAAACATCTCGGCCAGCTACCTGTACCAAGTGTACGGCTACTCGCTCGTGCTTTCGGGTGTCCTCGCGAGTCTCTCCCATGTCCTCGTCCTCACATCGCCCGTCCTCGGCCTCATCTTGGATCGAACCCATGGCCGATTGCATTACGTTCTCGCGTCGACGGTTTGCGGTGTCGTCGCCTTTGCGTGGCTCCTCTTTACACCGTACACGCCGATCGTGACGCTGCTCCTCATCTCTCTCTGCCTCACGGTCACACCCGCCGTCCTCGTTGCGGCGCTTGCGACCTCAGTGCCCCAAGAACGCTACGGTATGGCGTTTGGCGTCCTCGAGGTCTTTGATGCGCTTGCCATGACGATCGGCAACGTGCTCGTGGGGTACCTCCGCGACGTGACAGGCAACTACACGGCCGACGTCTACCTCTTCTTTGGCATCTCGTGGGTCACGCTAGCACTCGGTGTCGCCTTATTTGTGACCGGAACCAGCTCGCAAAACGTCAGCGCCTGCGACGACGACCACTTGGGCCTCGAGCTTCTTCCTGGATCCACCAAGACGACCAAGGTCTAAGTACACATGCGACGTCGCCTCGATATCATGGACCGTGTGCGTGGCTGGCATTGTTCACACGGCTATTCATTTTGCTTATATATTTCACGACGACGACACACGTCGATACTCACAGATGCAACGCAGTAGCATCTGCCTACTGCAAATGCAAAGGTTTGGTTCGTATGCAAGACGCCTGCAGATGTACGAGGCGAAAGCCGCTCGGACGCTTCCACAAACGTTTAAGAGCACGTGCATTATGTCGTCGGCACACAAGGGCATGATCGCAAGAGGCGGTGCGAAAGCTCTCCCGCGCGGAGACGACGCAAAGGGGACGTGGGCAGCCAATCGGGTATAGAGGCCAAGCGCGAGGTCAATCACGTGAACTGTGACATGGTACATGAGGGGTGCATTGATAGCAAGGGTTTGCCGGTGAAAAAATGATGGGCAGCGTCGTTTTGGCTCCTTTCAGTGGCATTTGCGTTAGCAGCAGTAGACTTCAGTGCGACGCTTGCGATGTGTCGAGTTTTTGGTCCGGTAGTCTCGACTAGCATTACCTCTAAGCCTTGATATAGTACCAACCGCAATATCAGATGTAGAGGGTTGTGACGTGGCGCTTGGACATGCAAAAGACACGCGTACGGGTTCGCCATACATAGGCTAAATTGGATCGCAGTGGCGATGCCTCGACAGATCTCGCAAAGGGCTGGGGTGCGTTCAAGATGTTTGAACCGTCGACACCGCTGGCCACCTTGATGCTCTTCTCGGACGCACTGCAGCACAGAGGCTGCGATGTCATCAGAGGCAGTGGGGACAGGCGGCTCCGAGAGCAGCAGTATGTGTGCTACAGGTTTTATTGCGATTCCGATGTCTACTGGGCTTGACGTCGACCTGCGCTTGGAGTGATAAGGCATCGGTACCGAGGACACTTGTGCCGAATGCAGAGCGAACTTCTAGTACTGCTCTTTTATCTCACACAAGTCATGTATATGTACATCAAGTTGTTGCCGACAAGGTAACGTTAAATCGTTTGAGACAACTGCACTGCATACGGTAGCTAGATGGTATAGAGCCGCGGTTATTGTACCTCCCTGTCTGTCTCTCGCATGGATCCCCAACCCTAGTATATCACTGGGCCTAGGGGACATATCCGAGAGACACTCTTTGAGATACACGGCAGCATTGCTCTATACAAGCTACGACATGTACAGGTAGTGTATGCGAGCGGTTTGTCTATTGCGGTTTAGGGTTCTGAGAACGGCCGACACGCTTCGTCTCCATAACTCTTCCACCTATGCACATGTGGACTTCGGCAACGTGATGCATTGCTTATAGTCGATCTCAAGTTAACATCCTCCCATGGTGCAGACATACTACTGTACCTCGTGGTTAAATGCAGTGTTGGCGTTGGAGCTATTGATAGCAAAGTCATAAAGTAATTTTATGGCCTTAATGATAGCGACCTGATATACGGCCCGATCACGAGAAGGCGCTTGCTTAATCTGGCTTGGATCACGTGGGCCATTGGTCATCTATGACCACTGACACAAGCATTGCAGGCAAAATAGAATACCAGAGGTGGGGCACGTAGCAGAAGCGAAACTTTCATAGAAAAGCGCGTTGAGGCGAAATGGCTCTACGCTCCTTCCATCGTTCCCACCGTGTACTGCAGGTACAGAGGATAAAAACAGATTGGATTACACACGAGCTGCCAAGTCCGATCATATCTTGACTCTGCTGCAAGTGTCGTGTACTCCACGGCACTGCTCGCGCAGGCACACACCCGCTGATACGCCCAGTGGCGATGGAAAGAAAGGATTCCCTATTGTCGCCTAGAGTGCATGTTTCGATACCCTTGTCCCCTCGTTTGCGTGGACAACATTGATCACATTGACAATGATCACAAGTTAATGGAGCAGCCTTTGTGACGCACGAGGCCGGCGAGCCTGGACTACAGTAGAGTACTTGTACAGTAAGCTCCTGCCGGTTGCGACACGGACTCAAAATGCACTGCACGATCAGTTGGCGGGATGCTATCAGCCACACACGCCAGCGCTGCTACCAGATCCAGCGCCACCAGATGTGGATCTTGGTCCTATGACGCTGGCCTCACAAGCACTGTGACCTCTCTCCTTTCTCATTTTCTCCAGCCCATTGGCTCAATAAGCGATAAGGATCGTGTTTATAGAGTCCATTTGTAGTACAGTATAAGGGCAGTGCACAAACTTGTGCTCTTCACGAGCGTCCAAATCGCTCAACGTGTGGCACAAGTGTCCCACACTATACTATTAGCAGCATGCACAATAGTCGACTTTACCCAGATGTTTTTAGTGCCTTCCTGTTTTGGATTTGTGCCCTTTCACAACGAGCCGTCACCAAGAGGTGCGAATATTTGGGAACCAATACGAACCCGCGACTCCTCCATGCGTCCCTTTCGATACTAAAACAAGGTCCATCGCTCTGTAAGCTACCATGTATGCACTGTCGCTCTTCATACCGATCGTCAACCAGCTCTCACTCGACAAGTGATAACACTACCATCTGTTATCCTGTTGCAAACTCTTCGGTAGACGGAGCACGAACCACGAGATCGTCGCCAAACGCTCATTTCCAAATTTGCTCTCCACCATGAAGGTCCAGTTCTCCATCGCCATGTGCCTTACGCTCCTCGCCGCTGCTTCGGCGACGCACGCCAACTGCGACATGGATCCGGCGACCAAGGCTCCGACACCGTCCGTGACGCCCGTGCCGTCGTCCGCAACGCCCTCGGTGGCGCCGACGACGAAGGCGCCAGCGACCACTTGCGGCAACTGCAAGAATTGCTACTCCCCGAGCAACGGCCTTTGCCACGGCGACTGGACGCTCGCCAACTGCAATGCGAACCCGCACTACGTCTGGTGTGGTGAGCCCGGCTATTGCGGCACGTGCCGCGGATGCCAAACGGCTTCTGGTTGCATCGATAACTGGAAAAAGTCCGATTGTGACGCTCACATGGCCAACGGCTTTGTCTGGTGCGGTGCCATCGCCAAGTAGATTGCATCAACGACGTTTGCAACCTTGATAACAAAGAAGTAAGTACTTTTAACTCATCCATTCAAAGCGCCGTCGGTGGCTGCATCTCGCACGGCCAAGCTCATGCTCCGTCTCGACCATTAACCCTGTGCGTCAAAGACGGGTCGTCGATCCCATACACTTGTCGCCTCGTCTTGCCCCCGCGCAAATATCAATAACCGCTTCTCGCCATACATCCCGAGCTCGGCGGGCCCGAGACAACTCTAGCCTCTGGCTTTCGTCGGAGGCAGTCCACAGGCATGTGTGTCGAGGCCTGGCGCCATGAGGAGCATCCTCATGCATCCAGGTATACCCCAGCAGGTTGATACTCTCCAGTGCTAGTGCCGAGAAGAGTTTGTCTCTGCAATGAGGAGCTAGTCGCACAACACGTGCTGCTGCCAATCAAACATGGCAGCGTGTCATGCTTGTCTACCGTTCGTTGATGGAACTATCTGTCGTTGGTCAGCCGTGTTGGAGCCCATGTGGTACACTCTTCGAAGAGATTGAAGCTTGGATATAGACGACGTAGACAGACTGCACCTCACGACAGCCTTGTCGAGTCGGAAGCCTTGTCGTCGCGTCCTCTTCGCGCTGCCCCAAAATGGCCAGTGACGCTACATGTGGGAGAGGCCACGTCATATCCTCGCAAAAAGGTGCGTGTTTCCAGAAAAACGCACCCACTGGTCTGTGATTGGCCGACGTCCAGAGTGCTTTTGACGTCGCATGAATCGCCTCCTGCAGACGTTCGTCACCCCGGAGGCCAAGCCCCCGATGCCGAGCAAGCCGCCCATGGCGATCAGCATCCCCGCGCCCGTGGGCGTCGACGACGGTCAGTACGAGGAGCTCGACCTCGACGACATTGGCTCGAGCGGCAACCACACAGCCGAGTTCTTCTCCATGCAGTCCAAGAGCCCGATCATCCGCTCCATGGGGCGGTCCTTCGACCACGGCCAGCCCGAGAGCAGCTCGTATGGCCCGCGCTCCAACGAAAGTCGGCCGC